ACTGGAACGCACCACGGGAGCGGCGCGCGTCTCGCGTGGCGCTGCGCTTAGCTGCGCTTGCCAACGCAGTCCGACCACCAAAGATTAATCAATACTATGGGCGCAACAGACGGGGCGGGTGGAGCGGAGCAGGCAGAGAACCATCTCTACTCAGCCTCCCCCCCCCCCCCCCGCCGGGGCGGGGGGGGGGGGGGGGGGGGGGGGGAGGGGGGGTAAGCTAGTCAGTCACCTGGCATTTGCCAGCGTTTGTTCGGGTTAAAATGACCAGGGGGAGGGGTGCGGGGTGCGGTGAGCATAGGCTAGAGAGGAGGAGCCAGGAGCTGTGGGAGAGAGGTAAAACATGTATTCGATTGCTGTGATTAGCGTTAGTACCAATAGGCAAGAGGTCGCAGACACCGCAGTCGGACTTAGGCTGACTGAAGGCGCCATGGGTGTGACAGACGACTTTGGAAACGGTGGCCATGCGTTTCTCTCGTTCTACAAATAGGATAAAAACAACCTGATTCTGTATGGGCGCATGTTTGCCATTCTATAGTTGTGCTGACAAGGGAGATACGCCTGCGGGCAAGGTAGGCCCATGATGAAGGCCAGACAATCAGCCCGCCCCAGCCAGAAATTGAAAGTTTACTCAACGTTGAATCGACGTCAAAGTTGATAGTACGTCGAAATTTGGACCATATAATGACCAATCAACGTTGATTGAACGTTTACGTTGATAAACGTCGATACATTTCTGGCTGGGGCGCGGCGGCCCACGTCAGGCCAGCCTCCGGGCGCGGGCCAGAGCCCACGCGGCGCTATTGCGACACGGGCCGTGACACGCGGGTCACAGTCAGGCACAGCGAGCTCCCACCCGGAGGCAGGTGGGATTCGGGGGTAACAGGCTGTGCAGTTGGGTCCCCGTCGACCCCTTGGCAGCGGGGCCCGCCAGGGGGAGGGGGTTCCCGCCCAGTTCATGAGGCTCCTGCCCGGCGAAGGGAAGACCTCCCGCCCCGCCCCGCCCCGCCCCGCCCGGGCCCGGCACCCAACCACCCAACACCTCCACACTTGTCCACGCACGCGCAGAGGTGGGGGGCGGAGGGGCGCTAGAACATCACTGTCTATAAAACGCTGGTAAGCGGAGAGGCGCAACACACTCGACAATAGTCCGACACACACAACACCATGAGCAAGGTGAGTGCGGACCAGCCGGCCCTGTGGAGTACCCGAGCGTCGTCTGCCGCGGAGTGCCGTGTGTGGAAGTGCTGGAAGTACCGTCAGTGAATGTGACACAGTGCCTGTTTTTGTGAATAGCTGCTGGCGATCGTGGTCCTCTCGGCGGCGGTGGCCGCCGTCCTGGCGCAGCAGCAGCAGCCCCAGGTGACCATCACCAAGTACTCCTTCACGCCCAACACAGGCAACGGCGAGTACTCGTTCGAGTAAGTACGCACGTGTTTCACCCCCGTGAGGTGTTGTTCCCGTTGGCCGCCACCGACACGCCCACCCTTGTGCAGGTACGAGCTGAGCGACGGCTCCGCCCGCTCCGAGCAGGGCGTGCTGCAGAACGCCGGCACCGAGAACGAGTTCCTGCTCGTGACGGGCTCCTTCAGATGGACCTCCCCAGAGGGCCAGGTGACGCAAGTGGACTACACTGCTGACGACACGGGCTACCACCCGAAGGTTCAGATCCAGGGTGGCGGCATCGGTGGCGGCGGACCCTCCGCGGCCCTCGCTGCCTCCCTCATCGGCTGAGCCAACAGGCTGAGCATCCCCGGCGCGGCCGACACTCCACCCGACCAGAGCTCAGCCCGCCGCCGGCCTCCGACCCGACTCCGAGCTTTGGCCGGGTAGACTGGCGACGCAGGCGAGTGCCTCTTCTGCCCCGTGACGAGACCGGCGCCCCGCTGCACCGTCGGCTCGTAGCTCCCCCAAGTCCCCCCTCCTGCCCTGCCTGAGCCGACGGTGCCCCGCGCGCCCTCCCCGTCCAGCATTGTAACAGTGCCCCACCCTGGTCGCAGCGCTGGCCACCCACCCCCACCGAGTACCTGCCGAACACAAATAAAAGTCACACCCCAAACCACAGTAGATCCCTGTTTCTTTTCGATCATCACCCAGTCCTCATCACTTTTCACGAGCACTCTGGCTGGCCCTCCGACGAGCAGTCACTCTGCACGCGCAGTCACTCTGCACG